CATCTAAGTACATTCCGATTAATGAGCAGAAAAACAGTTATACGCAGATAAACAGGCAAATCACTGACCCAGTGCATGTTTTTGGTTAGCAGATAAAAAATGAAGTTTTTAACTAGTCAGTTTTATTCTAATATGGGAAACACGGAAACGAAAGTGGTTGAAAAGTCGTTCCTAAGAACTTAAAGTGGATATTTAAGAATAAATAAATAAGAAATTTGAACGCGATGAGAGAAAAGCTGGCTCTAGGAAATAATGGAGTCTCAACGATTTTGGGATAAGAGTAATTCAAAGACAGCGTATTTCGTTCCTGCGCTGATAGTCACAGGGAAAAACTGGTTGTTGGAATCTGTTATCATCACTTTTAGCATCCTAGCAAACCTGCAGACTGCATAAGAACTGCAACTTCCGCTCATCTTTCTGAGGCTTAGAACCTCGTACTTCAAAACGAACCAACTTCAGCGGACAACATCAATCGAAAACCATCAGCTTTAGCTTGAAAAAGGGTCACGAGACACGAGTCGAAAAACTTTGAGGGTCTATTGCATCGCCCACAACTGTTTTGAGTTGTGGGACATTAAACCGTTTTAACGGTGTTTCAGTGTAAACTGCGACTAGGGAAAAAATATTTGTAAAGACGCTCAAAGATCAAAAGATACATAAGCGCCATGAAAACTGTTAATGACTGGTCGAAATCTTAGAAAAACTGAAGTTTTCTAGCGGCATGAATTGAAAACTAAAACAATCATAAATATCAGAAATGTCATTTATCTAAGAGTTCAAGAGAAAAAGAGTTTGTACAAAAAATCAACGAAAAACGAAATGAAGTGATTCTATTTGCTGCTTACCATGTTAGACTTGGGTAATTCTAACTGATGGAGACTAAACGTCATAGCAGGCTTTCAATGTTGAAAAACAGGTCAGATGGAACTGAATGCCAAAGAGAACGTATATCTGCATAAAAGAATTGTTACCTGGAACTAAAGCACAAACGACCATATTTACAGCTCTTGGGTAAAACGAAACTACGCATCAAGCTCTAAGTAGCTACTACTCTAAAAACCCCAGGATACTGAAGGGCTATGCAAATGCAAAACAGCTACTCGATCATCGTTTGACGCACTAATATACTGCTACAGGGGAAACTGACGTTCAAGATTCTTCTTCTTGACAATGCTCCTGACCACCGTCCCAACCATATAAATCTCAACAATAACATTTAAGTAGTGTTCCTATCATCCAATCGAACCTTTCTATCCCTGATTCAACCCACTGATCAAGCCACAAGGCTTACAAATTTAACTGAACTATCGCTAAACAGTGCCAAGTCCTAACGAAACTAATGAAACAAACTTGACAGAAAAGACTCGAGGAAACTTCAATAGTAAGATCGCCACCTGCTAAGTGGTGATTGATAACCAGTGATTGATCATTACTGGGTAAAAGAAAAATGCACCAAGGATGAAACAACATCCAGCCTAAGGTCATCAATGATCTACACAATTCTGGTGGTCATGATTTGAAAAATGAGATAAACATTATCACTCAAACAGCCACCGTATAGGCTTTGAAAAACCTGCAGATGATATTGAGGAATGCCTACACTCAAGTGGGGAGGAACTTCAGAATGAAGATCTAATGGCACCGAGAAAGAGCGCAAGAGAGGAATCAGTTATTCTACAATGCTTTCAGGTTAATAAACGTTCGTAACGAAAGCATTCATTGTGCTAATGCCAAAGCTACGAGTTGGCCGTACTACCTCAGCGATGGGATTTATGTGGCCTACCTACTGCAGATGCTCAAATACTGCGGAGCCTTGGCCTGCTCAGATGTCACCCCCCCCCCTCCACAGAGACTACACACAAGTGGCGGTGCATGTGTTGCGTATGACACGGTGTAATAACTTTCATCAGTCTTACACTGCGGCAGTATCGTTGCATAAGGTATTTTCCATTAACCCTTCCCATAATAGTAACGTAAAAACAATGCTTGGCCTACATGTTTTTCAGTTTAAACCGGTAGGCCGGTAGAGTATTTAGTTCAAACATCGATAAACAGGCAGCAGTTCGATCGTTTTACAAATCGAAAGTTCACAAATCTAATCTTGCATTTACAGTATTATTTGAGTAGGCAGTAGGCAAAATCAGTAAAGAAAAACTAGCAAACAGCCCTCAGTACCTGATTTCAAGAGGCGTTAAGAAAAAGTACTGCCTGCATTTTGAAGAATTCAGTGCAAAGTCGACCAGCATCTGTGACGACATACGGCGGTTGACGATGTCCATGAAAATGTCAAATTCGTCCAAACAACGAAAAGGTGTGTCCATCACTGTCCACAAAGCTAGGACGAACGAGACGGTGCTAAACGAACGCTCGCCGCCGCTCAGCGCTTTCAAAGTCTGTGCAAATCTCCTAGACTGATCTGAACTTGAATCGTTTTTTGCAGACGGTTGCACCTAGCAGCCAAAGAAAACCATGTTAAATAAGCTAAAACTTTAGTAAACTTTTGTAAAATCCATTTAGCGATCAGTTGATCAAAAAAATATTCAACGTTGCCAAAATGTCAAATCGTGCGTAGGCAGTGATCATACGCTTTATGGCATAATACGAGTAATCCCACATTGCTGTAGGATTTGGTCTGCAAGCAGATTGACCTGACCCATCGTTATGTGAAACAGAAAAACTGAAGCTCAAAACACATATAGCTGAAATACATGCTAATAAACATCATGCCACAAAACGGATTACAGGACGTCATGACATCACCCTTTGATTTCAGTGGTATTGTTACACGTGCAAACGCTGGTCGCCGTATTACTGGAACTGTGTGTAATATTGAACTAGCTTAACAACCTGCAGTATGCCGGCAGCATGAGATGAAACGCGTCGTTAGAACATAAACTTATTGTAGCATTCTATAGTTATAGCTGAACCACGGCATAACGGTGAAATTGAACATCAAACCACGTTCACATTTATATGTTGTGAACTGGGAAAATTTCCACAAAAAAAACAAGGTACTGCGAAACGGGGTTGATTGGCTATAATCACTTGCTAATATGCTATTAGAAAGGCGACATATCGAAAACTCAAACACGGAGGAAAAATTCTACAAAATGAGACAGACCAAGAGTGGAAACATTTAAGAAGCTTTATGTAATTGTTGCAAAATATACGCAGCTGGTATGCCTGTATATGTTAATAAGCGCCTAACTCTTCCTAACGAGATCTCAGAGCGTATTGCACCGATTTACTTGCTTATTAAAGATGCATTTAAACTTGAGCGAACGCTAAGGTGCTTGAATACTTGCAGTGCTAGAAAAATATCGCCTCATTTTGTTAGCACTGCAACACCTTATCAACAGCAATATTTCAGTAATCAATATCATTAGACGGTTTCGAGAAAAATCCAAAATGCGAGTACGCAGGAGTCTGTTAAAAGGTTCTGATACATGATTTCCAGTTCTACTGCATCCATTGCTTGCTACTATATGCATATACCGTAACTCACAAGGACTAACAGTACTTGAAGCATCGTTGTTTATGTGCAATAAATTGTTTTGACTAGTACAACGACGAAACGCTGCAGGTGCCCCAACACAAAGAACATATTCAAATATTGCCGATGCATTACTTTTATTGTATGACCAACTCTTCTTTTATCATCCGGTTTAGAAAGTTTCTCCTCAGTGTATTCCGTTCATGTAGTCTCATAATAGAGAGTGCCGTTCTGGTACTGCATGTTCCACATCCGTTGAATTCTTTTCGCATTTCTGTTTCGCCACCTGTTGATCTTTCGTTTGTCTTGGCCCTCTGTCTCTCTGTGTTTGATCATTCTGACGTAGATGGCACTGCGCCATCTAGTCAAGTTGCAGAGATGTTATTTCTCCCTCTCTTCAGTGGTGTTGCCGGCATCTTGTATGTAACTGAGAATACAGTCAAAAGGTAGCGTGTAAATCCAGCCTTGCTGCTGGGATTTCGGCTTAGTGGTTTTGACATACATCAGCCGGCTCCGTAATTTTATCTGGGATTTGAATACCAGTCGTATTATACGCTCACAAACGATTCTCTGCAGCTTAGATTTGGTACGCATGGAACAACAATGCTGGCGTTTAAATTCTGCTTTCCCTTTTAGTTCACCAATTTGTAACTCTTTCTTTGATGACGGCTTCTGCTATCAATCATCTAGGGTGGCCATTGGTCCTGAGAGCTTTCGGGACATAAGCAAGTTTTTGGATACCACTGTCGTCTGAGCTAAACTCAATGCATCTGCCAACCAGACTGCAAACGATGCTTCTCTTCCCGCAATATGCGCGGTTCGAATCGAACGGCAGGAATTTATTGGTGTATTAGTTAGCTAGTAAAACACCTCACATTGTATTATTGCTGGCTAATAAAACACCTCACTTACTTAATTTATCGCCTTTTTCATGATGAATGTATCCAAGAAAAGAGCCGAGTTGTTTAGCTCCACTTGGAAATCCATACTATTTCTGCAGGATATAAGGTGTTAATGTGATTAAGATAAGGCGTCTACGTATCCCTTTCACAGATGGCAAATATACCATCAACGTACCTGCTGAACAATAAGGGATGGATCTTTTTGTCGGAGATGGTGAATGACAGTGTTTCAAGATAATCCATAAAAAATTCCGTTAGTACTAAAGACAACGGAGAACCTATATGTGAAATTGTTGGCATAGTTTGCCACTGAATCTCAAATAATCATAGACCACTAGAAAGACTTTCAAGATATCGACAATGGATTTAACTGAGAGCGCAGTCTTCTTCGCTAACTCTGTATCACTCTCGAGCTTCCTTTCTACCATAGTGAACATATCTTTGAGTGGTAAGCGCTAAACAAGCTGTTAACCATAATTGTCCTTCTTTGGCTTCAAATTTATGAAGATACCTTATGAATTCACTTGAGTTTTGGATAGGTAAATTCATCGTTATTGGTTGTATGATCGTCGATAAGAAAGATATAATGCCGCCACTGCCATACAGAATCTCAACACCAGCGCAGTTGTTTTATACGTAACAATTTTAAACGAGAAATTGCAAACGATCGCCCGTACGCAATACGGCTATCATTCAGATCCCAAACAATAATACGGAGCTAGCTTATTCAAGTCAATACCACCTAGCCAAAATCCCAACAACACGGCTGGATCTACATCCAACCTTGTGAATATGATCTCAATTACATAAAAAAAACGGCAACACCATAAAAGAAAGGAAGAAAGAACACCTCAATAACCTGACAAGATGGTGCAATGCCGATCTCTACAGGAACGGACAAGCACAGGAAGGTAAGGGACAAAGACAAACAGAAGAGCCATAGGTGGTGAAACAGGAATGCGAAAAGAATTCGGAAGCTGTTCAACGTGCAGTATAAGAACAATACTGCATATTATGGGACCACATGAATAGAATACACTGACAGCGAAAATTTCTAAACCGAAAGATAAAAGAAGCATTATTAATACAATCAAACTAATGCATGAATAAAGAGGTCGGAACGGAATTAAGTTCGCACTGTAACGAAGTTATGAAGCAACTTGCACCATCGATGCTAGAACATCCATAATTAATCGTGTATTTTAATGCACTATGTATGTTGCGCATAGTGTAACATAGTATCTATACGATGTCGCTATCTGAAGACGGATCGAGCATGATATGAAACGTTAGAAAACTTGTATATAATTCCTATACGAGGTATTATATATATAAGGCAAACAGAATGGTTACCGTAAGCATAATTTCCTTGTCTTTATGAGACACACTTAAAGATCCTTCCATATTTCGAACAGATAGATTTGCCGTAAATGCTTCCTTCAGATAGATGGTGATTTGA